TATTGTCAGTTGTGGGAAAGCAGTGAGTGCTAATTTAGATACCCAGATAAGCGAGCCTGTATGTGCGTTAGCTGTTGTCCTGTCTGTGTTTCATCCCTTTAGCTATTTTGAAATATCCTAGTTAAGTGTTCTGAATTATAGCCTCGATTCGAAGGCAGCCACTTTCAGACAACGATGAGTGACTATTTTAAATTTACTTTTTTTGGTTTATATAAACGGAAGTCTTGCTTGACTGATCAGAAATTCAGTTTATATAAACCAAAAAAAGTGAATTTAAAATAATAGCCACTGCGATAAATTATGATAAGAAGGGAATTTAACTCGTTGGATTCTCGCAGACTTACTTATTCGATGTTGCTTGTATTGTGTATGTCTTTCCATGATATTTGAAGAAATCCAGGGCAACACGAAGCAGCGAAATAAAATTAAGCACTAAGCCATTCGATTCAAAATGCGATATTATTGCAGTGAGAATCTTACGTGGCAAGAAGTGCAACAAATGAAGTGTGCATAAAATCAGGTCACGCGCTTCCGCCTGAAATACAACGTATCAAGCTGTGAAAAAAAAACTTCAAAACTTTCTGTACATATAGAATTCCATCAAATTTCGAGAGAAAAAAAATTTTGTTTTGGGAATATTTGGCATTCTTCTAAAGTGTAACATAGCCTGTATCATCTTCTGAAGCCAAATATAAGCTAAAGTCCCGGAGCAATCACAAGTTTTTAGTTCCTCGGCCAACTTTTCATTAAGTCCTCCCTCTTCCGCTGCACCAAAACAAAACCCAGGCTGGAACACACCAGGCGAGCCGGTACGATCATGCGTTTTGGCATCAAACTTTGAGGTACTCCATCATATTTCCCCGCCCTTGCCCCACCCCATCCACTCATTGTTTCCGCCCTTCCCCCGCCCCCGCGCTGGACACCGGTCTTCTTGAAGCGGTGATACTGTACTACATTACACAGCGCGATTCAAAGCGGTATTCTGCGAGTACGGTAGGATGAGATGTACGTAGTCCACAGGCTCCGATGAGCGGTCTATGTAGGCTAAAAAAACTTTGTAGGCTAAAATTTTATAATTTTTAACAGTCTTTGCAAAAGAAAGAAAAAAACTCAAACATTCAGTACATTTTCAGCTATGTAAAAACAAAACTAGAAAACAAAAGGAAGCATACCCGATCAAGTTTTTCCATTAATCCAGCAATACAGGGCACTGGCGTTGGTTGAGCGACTCTTTCAATGTATGACTGAAGAGACAAACCACTCCTTAAAGATCCACTGACACGAGGAACTAATCCGGGCATCGGCGGAGACAGGAAGCGTTCCGTAGACGACGATCGAAAAGATTGTCTCGAATCTGTAAGACAAAAATATGGGCAACAATCCAAACTAAGGTCAATTTTCATCATCGTTTAAACTGTCGGAAATCTGTTTCAGAATATTTAGTCTTGACTTACTGGTTTTGAGATTGTTTCAAAATAGTTAGTCTATGTCTTGAATTTACTGGTTTTGAGAATTCATCTTTTGCTCTTACTGTAAAATTCTAGTTTGCGACAATGAAGGAGAATTAGGCGTGAAAAGGGACAGGCAATAATGGCTCAAAAATCTGTCTATGCATGAAGAAGCCTAGTGCGGGCGCAGCATCGATTGGCTGGCAAATTTTTCAGCAGCGCCTTCTTCTGAAGAGAAACTGCTTCATACAAACTATCGTCAACTTTAGCCGCCTCACAAGCGACAGTACCAATTTACCATCGAAACGAATGAACGAATCCTAGACAAACTGACTGTCCCAACCACACAATGGAACCCATAACCCTATTGCGTGAAAGCAGTGCTAGTTTTTACTACATCATCCACTTCAATACCACTGAGTTTGTGCTGGACATTCAGCACTGCGGCGCATCTCGAAACACCTTTCAGCTGCGAAACTTCGAATTTCTAGTTCCAAAACTTCAGCTTAAAAAGAACGCATAAAAAGAAAAGAATGTAGCGACGTCCACACATACATACATACATACATACACACATAACACAGATGTAATTTAGCCATAAAGCATAGTTGATTTATTCAAAAACGAGTGAAAACAAATTTGAAGACGAAAAATACCTGTCACAAGTGGAGTGTGCCCGGTTGGTGATAAGCTTGGTTGATCTATTTTAGGAGCTGATTCGAGTTCTACTAGATTATCCAGTACTATACTAATTAGTGGACAATAGAGCGTTGCGATGCAGTTTTGGGCACTCTGCAAAATATTTTTTAAACACATTCACGAAATATAATAAAAACTTTCATGCACAGAGTATGTTGCTCAAATTGCTGACTACTGATTGATGTAGCGCATTAGTGAATGGTACTCGCGAAGAAATAACTGGCCCATTGGATGGTCTCCAAACCAGTGGCGTTCAAAAACCGAACAGGCTGTAGGTAATAACTGTAAGTATATAGCGCAACACAGAAAAGCCTGGTATCCCGGAGTATGGGAACATCCTAGTAAGACTGCAAACATGAAATCCCCCAAAGAATGCCATATGGAA